ATTCGACGTTTTGTCCATTCGATTACTTGGCATTCGACTATTTGATCATTCGACGACTTGGCGATTAGGGGATATGCATGCGTCTCCAAAAACCTCTAGTGACGCGTCACTTTCCAACACTGGCTTTCGGTCGACGTACTCTGCTCACATGGGAACGCACCTTTACGGAAGCTTCTACGCGCCACCATGCGGCACTCACTCCTGTTGTGCGGCACATAGAGAGGAACCGGCCTGTTCGTAAGTTCCTTGATGCGTGCCACCCTACGTGCCTAGTAGCGTTCCTAGTTGTAGCAGAAGAGTTTTGAAAATATTTTGTTACTGAGTATTTTATTTATGAAATTGGAATAAATCTAATGAATTATGTTTTATTAATATTATTTCAAGTCTTTTATTTTGCATGTATTACATTGGTTTGCTAGAAAATTACAAAATTTCAATTTAATACCTTGAGATAAACATAACCGCAAAGTAAAAAGTGATTATTTTGAATAGCAAATAAAACTATATAATTTAAATTTATTTCAACAATATCAATTGCAATGTTTCTTGTAATTAAGATGTTTTGTTTGTATTTAAAGTCGATCTGTAATTATAATTAAGGAAATTTTAAGGTTTTGGTAATTTTCTATAAAAAATGAAAATTAGGTACAGTAGGTTTAAATTATGCCTTCTTAGTTTGAACGTGTTGCACTCATATGTTTCCATGGGAACATATGAGTGCGACACGTTTATACTAGGAAGGCATTTTTGAAACCTACTGTACAATTCATTTAGGTTATGGGCAGAATTGAACAGAATTGAAGCAAGCGAATGTATCAAAGATTATAAAAAATTGAATTGAATTTATAATTGAAGAACAATTTTTCAAAAGTCGATAAATCAATGTATTTTTAAAGAAAATTGAGATGAAAGCAGATTTAAAATATTAATGACCTTCTAAATCGATCTGTCACTGTTGAATTAAAAAAATATTTTGTTATCAAAGAATTTTTTATTTTAAATACCTCAATTGTATTTATTAAAATTAAAGGAAGAACACAGATAACTAATTTTTAATAACAATAATTTATTCTAAAAAATTGATATTGTTGAAATAAATTTAAATTATATACTTTTATTTGCTATTCAAAATAATCACTTTTTACTTTGCGGTTATGTTTATGTCAAGGTATTAAATTGAAATTTTGTAATTTTCAAGCAAACCAATGACAATATATGCAAAATAAAAGACTTGAAATAATATTAATAAAACATAATTCATTAGATTAATCCTATTAATCAAAATAATCACTTTTATTTACTTTGCGGTTATGTTTATGTCAAGGTATTGAATTGAAATTTTGTAATTTTCTAGCAAACCAATGTAATATATGCAAAATAAAAGACTTGAAATAATATTAATAAAACATAATTCATTAGATTTATTCCAATTTCATAAATAAAATACTCAGTAACAAAATATTTTTAAAACTCTTCTGCTACAACTAGGAACGCTACTAGGCCACTGATCTCTATATACCTCTGAATTGGAAATGCTGTGAGCAGAACTTTTACCACGGCGGCCATCTTTCATTGTAGTAAAAGTACAAAATTATGGCGCGAAAGCCTTGTTTCATATTACAAAGTAAATTTCTTTTTTATTGTAAGTAGATGTATGAATAAACAACTCATGTATAGAATATAAAATGTTAAAATTGATAATTATTATTATCATTATTATTATTATTACTTAAAATACAAGGCTTTCGCGACATAATTTTGTACTTTTACTACAATGAAAGATGGCCGCCGTGGTAAAAGTTCTGCTCATAGCATTTCTAATCCAGAGGTATAAAGAGATCAGTGTACTAGGCACGTAGGGAGGCACGCATCAGGCTGGAGTCCCATGGCAGCGTTTTGCGTTGCGTTTTGTAACTAGGCAATGAGTGCAAATAGAGCAAACCTATATCTGTATCTCTCTCACACTCATGGCCTAGTTGCAAAACGCAACGCAAAACGCTGTCATGGGACTCTAGCCTCAGGGTGAAGTCCCATGGCAGCGTTTTGCGTTGCGTTTTGTAACTAGGCCATGAGTGCAAATATAGCAAACATATCTCCATCTCTCTCACACTCATTGCCTAGTTACAAAACGCAACGCAAAACGCTGCCATGGGACTCCACCCTCAGGTCGCAGTCCCATGGCAGCGTTTTGCGTTGCGTTGTAATGAGAGAGAATGCAGCAAACGTATATTTGCGTCTTTTTCTCTCCCATTACGACGCAACGCAAAACGCTGTCATGGGACTTCACCCTCAAGGAACTTACGAACAGGCCGGTTCCTCTCTACGTGCCGCACAACACGAGTGAGTGCCGCATGGTGGCGCGTAGAAGCTTCCGTACATAATAGGTTCGCGAAAGTCGTTCGCGAACGAGACGCATGCGATAGACAAGGACACAAATATATCTCTGTGCTTTTCTAACTCATGCTTTGCGTTCGCGAACGCAATGCATGGGTTAGAAAAGGACAGAGATATATATTTATGTCCTTTTCTAACTCATGCTTTACATTCGCGAACGACGTTCGCGAAGCAGTTGTGCGTTTGCCTTTAATGCTGGTTCCACCTATACAAAACGCGCGCGTATCGCGTAGACGCGTAAAGGCCTTTCTCCAATAGGTTATCACAAGTGTGCGAATGACTGCGTTGCGTTGATTTTAGCATGTGTTGCTATGGCAACCGACGCAGACGCAGTCATTCGCACACTTTTTAAAACCTATTGGAGAAAGGCCTTAAAGGTGCTTCTATACCTCCGGTGGATTGGTCAAGCAATCGGCTCGATGAATTTTCACGGTCGGAAAATGTACTTTCATGGCGGGTATTTTTGAATAAGTAAATGTTGAAAAGGTTTTTACTTGAAAATTTATTTAAAAAAATGATTTTATCATAGAAATTTTTTTGAAATTTATGTTAAAAAACATGTTTTATTTTAAAAGTTATCAAATTTTAATTCAAAATGTTTTAATTTTCCAAAGAAGTGTAAAAAGCCTAATGTTTTTGAAATGCTAGTACAGACGGTACAGACTGTTTGTTATGAATGTACATAACCTAGCGTTGTGTTGTCTGTTCATTATTATTTAATATAATAATAATAAAATCATTAAATTTAGAATATAATATCACAAGCACGATAACACTACGCTAGGTTATGTACATTCATAACAAACAGTCTGTACCGTCTGTACTAGCATTTCAAAAACATTAGGCTTTTTACACTTCTTTGGAAAATTAAAACATTTTGAATTAAAATTTGATAACTTTTAAAATAAAACATGTTTTTTAACATAAATTTCAAAAGAATTTCTATGATAAAATCATTTTTTTAAATAAATTTTCAAGTAAAAACCTTTTCAACATTTACTTATTCAAAAATACCCGCCATGAAAGTACATTTTCCGACCGTGAAAATTCATCGAGCCGATTGCTTGACCAATCCACCGGAGGTATAGAAGCACCTTTAGGCTTGCGTATGCGTATAGTCTACTACTAAGGCCTTTCTCCAATAGGTTTTAAAAACTCTGCGTCTGCGTCGGTTGCTATAGCAACACATGCTAAAATCAACGCAACGTAGTCATTCGCAGACAAACGCAGAGTTTTTGGATCCTATTGGAGAAAGGCCTCTATACGCATACGCAAGCCTTACGCGTCTACGCGATACGCGCGCGTTTTGTATATGTGGAACCAGCGGAAGCGCCTACGTACGGAAGCGCCTACGCGCCACGAGGCAAAGAGAGGAAACCTGTTTCTGCTAATGTCGTTTTAGCTTGTGAAACATAGGAACACGTTCGATGGTTCGCTGGTTAGGTGGTTCGATGATGTGATTGTTGCTAAATAAAAAATTTAAAATAAATAAAAATGAACCAAATTAATTTAAATTGACAATTTTAATGTAATAAAATATTTTTTAGGTATTATTTATAACAGATATTAATTACGAGGTAAATTAGGTGCTTTAAAAAAAATTATATATTTTGAGGTTATAAAATGTGTTATGAAAAAGTAATGGAAAAAGGTCAACATTAGGCCTTAAATGTGATAACATTTTATAACCTCAAAATATATGATTTTTTTAAAGCACCTAATTTACCTCGTAATTAATATCTGTTATAAATAATACCTAAAAAATATTTTATTACATTAAAATTGTCAATTTAAATTAATTTGGTTCATTTTTATTTCTTATTTTAAATTTTTTATTTAGCAACAATCACATCATCGAACCACCGAACCAGCGAACCATCGAACGTGTTCCTATGTTTCACAAGCTAAAACGACATTAGCAGAAACAGGTTTCCTCTCTTTGCCTCGTGGCGCGTAGGCGCTTCCGTAATTATGCGTTGGACTTTAAGCGTAAAATTGTGGACTCAACCTTATTGACTAAACTTTTTCCGTTTCCCGTTTAGGGTACAGTCACACGATCTCATGCAAAAGGCCAACGCAGAATAGATCTGTAACCGGAACCGTAATCGTAAGCGTAACCGTAAGAATGAGTTAGAGAAGGATAGGTATATTGTTTATCCTTCTCTAACTCATTCTTACGCTTACGGTTACGATTGAGGTTCCGGTTACAGATCTATTCTGCGTTGGCCTAAAACTCATGCATGCAGGTTGCCATGGTAGCGTTTAAGAGTGAGAGAGATAGGAAATTATTCTATCTCTCTCACTTTTGAACGCTACTATGGCAACCTGCATGCATAAGTTTTTTGCATGAGAAGGTCTGAACGCTCCCTTAGGTTGCCATAGCAACCTACAATGGGCACGGATACTTTTGAAGACAGGCCTTTATGATGCGCTATTTTCTATTTTGGCTATTATGTAGTCAAGCCTGGTCCCTTTTGAGCAGAAAGCAGACGATGTATAAAGGCCTAAGCACAATAGATTCGCGAAAGTCGTTCGCGAACGCAAAGCATGAGTTAGAAAAGGACAAAGATATATTTGTGTCCTTGTCTATCGCATGCGTCTCGTTCGCGAACGACTTTCGCAAACCTATTGTGCGTTGGACTTAACGTGTTTTGTCTACCTGCTTTGTAAACAGCCATGTAACAAACTGAGGAAAATAATTAATAACTTTTGTTTCAAACTCATATAAATATGGTGTAATTTATAACAGTAAATATTTTGGGTAATTAAATTTATTTAAATTTAATTTAAATACTACCTAAATTTTTTGAAAACAATAAAACTAACCTTAAAATTTGTTATACAATTTATCATAAAACATTTTGAGAATGTTTTTGTTTGACATGTCAAATAATAGTATTACTGAACATATAGTATTTATTTTTTTCAATTAACAAGTTTATACATTAAGTACTGTTAAAAGTTTGAAAAGTGACCTTGTTATTTATTTATGTGCAATGGTAAATATATACAAAGACCGGTAACTGTGTATATGTCAAAAAGTGAAATTTTAATAAAAGAAATTCTAATTTTCTAAAAACCTTTATGTTAAATATTTCGAAAAAATTTATATAATTATTTCCTTTTAGTATATATTTTCAAATACAATACAAATCAAACTAATTATGCGGGTGATTCTCCATGAAGTGGTAACTTTTGACTACGATAACTTTCTATGAAAAAAATTCATTTTTTTTAAATTTCCTATGCAGATCTTTTTAATAAAGCTTGAAAATAATTATTTTGTTTATATTTGAGTTTATTTTTTTTAATCTTATATATAGACTGTTTTAACATTTTTTCTTTAGAGGTTAAATAAATTTTAAAAAGTCAAGTTTTGTACATTATTAATATAAACTAGCAAATGTACGCGCGTAAGTGCAAGAAATATGATATTAAATATGCAAATTACAAAATTTTTTATTTTGAAATTTTAATTTTTGATTAATTACCATGTTGAAGTCCACAACGTTGATCAACGAAAAAAATTTTAAACTTAGTAAATTAATTAAAAATGACGCTGCAATATTGTCACAAAAATATTTCGAAATAAAAGATTGATGTTTATATTTTGATAATAATTATTTTGCAATTAAATATTAAATTAAAAATAATACTTATTTAATAATGCATTAAATAAATTTATTTCGTTGACAACTTTAACTTCGTGATTAATTTCATAATCAGAATTTTAAAAATCACTTATTAAGTACATAATTAGTAATTATTGTTTATATTATCAAAAATTTGAATATAATTCTTGGCAAGAATTAAATTATTTTCATAAATAATTTTTTTTCTTCGGGAGAATTCAATTATTTTTATAAATATAGTTAAATTCTTTGTAAGAATTCAATTATTTTTATAAATATAGTTAAATTCTTTGTAAGAATTGAATTATTTTCAATACATTCGGAAAAATTGTTAACTAAACTTCTTCCACCTTTAATATTAATTACCAAATAATAATAATTTCATTTCCTTTAATTATTTTCAATACAGTTTTAATAAATCCATTGAAACAATTAAATTATTTTTTTAAATAGTAAAGTCTTTGCAAAAATGAAATTATTTTCAATTACTTTAATTTTTTCCTTCTCGTTTCCTTCTGATTATTAAATTTTTTTTCTGTAAAATTCCTTAAAAAGTTCATTAATTTTCAAAACGTTTAATAAATTTCTTGAAAAATATTCAAATATCTTATTTAAAACTTATGAAATTTTAATAATTCCAAAATTCAATTTTTTAAAAAATAATTTTGAAATTGAGTTAATCTCAAAAATTCAATTATTTCTAATAAATAAATTTTCTGTAAAATTTATTTTAAAAATTCAATTATTTTCAAAATCTTTAAGAAATTTCTTGTTAAATATTGAATTATTTTCTATAAAAATTAGAAAGTGACACAATTTGTTTAGAAACATTTAATTATGTTAATTTTTTAATAAAATTTTTGAAAATTAAATTACTTTTTATAGAATTTAAAAAGTAATTTTTCAGAATTTTAAATACAATTTAGATACAAAATTAAACTAAAACACCATGCCAGTTGTGTAGAGAAATATTTAATGTATTTACATGTTACGTTTTTAAAAATTAAATACTTAAACTTATATTCAAAAAAAATAAAAGTTTGTTCAGTAAAATTATCATTTTATTTTTGCAAAACAATTTTTTTGTTATATTTCTTAAAATATTTGATATTTTTAGGTTTTTCTTTTTTTAATCAATTGGTCTGATTGCACTGCAACTTAATTTTTAATACCAATTGGAATAGACAGAAAATAAAGGAGATATTTTAAAAAACGTCTTTGCCCCGCATAGCGCCTTTGCCCCACTCTCCCCTATATTAAAAAATTTTGATTAAATTCTTCTCAAAATTTCAATTATTTTCATAAATAATAAAATTCTTCTAAGGAATTCAATTATTTTGAATACAATTTTAATAAAATTTCTCAAAAGTATACAATTAAAAAAAAAAAATTTAAAAAAAAAAAAATTTTTTTTAATTAAAAATATTAAATAAAATTCAATTATTTTCAACAGTTTTGATAAAATTTTTAAGAAGAATTAATTATTTTTAAACGTTTTAATAAAAGTTTTCAATTGAATCAAAATATTTTCAAAATTTTTAATCAAATTCTTTCAAAACTTTCAATTATTTTCAAAAGTTATAATAAAATTCTTCAAGACAATTCAATTATTTTATAAATTGTAAAATTCTTCCCAATAATTCAATGATTTTCAAAAAAAAAATTTTAATATTGAAAATATTTTAAAAGAAAAATTATTTAAAAAGTTAGGAAACAAAAAAGCAAACATTAACTAACTGCATTCTATTTCAAACCGTTTCACCGACAAAAAATAATCGCAAAGAAAGGGATATTCTAATAAATTGAATTAATTAAAAATTTAATTATTTATAATATATTATATACTGATTCGAAAGAGAATTTAATGAAATTTCTATTTCTATTTTTTAAAATTTCTCTCAATTTCGTAGAGAAATTCCTGTTTGAACTGTTAAAGTCTTAATTCTCAAACCTCCCCCCCCTTCGTTTTTTATCAAAATTATGTGAAAATAAAGCTCAATTTTAAATTTGTGTTTTAGAAAAGGGACCACTTTGTCGGATGTCCGCTATTTTTTCATTGTTTCAAAATGGAGGGGGGGGGATTCAAAACCTATTATGTAATTTTTCATCTTAAAGGTGTACTAGACTTAAAACAATATTCTTATCTGAATAACTTCTTAGAAGAACCAAAAATATTTGCATTACAATCTTTCATTTCTATTTTCTCGAAATGAGGTTTTTGACATTCTAAACTTTAAAATTCTATAACTTAGCGATCTTTGTACCAAATTAGACTTAAGGCGGGATATCAAAGTAAAAGTAAAAAAATTGTTAAGTCGCTATTTTAAATGTCATATAGTAAATGCATCCTGAAATTCTAAATGCGTTTTTCTCAAAACTACAGAAACTACATTTTTCAAAACTGCGTACAGTGTAACTAGCTCAATTTTTGACGAATTCATTTGAAATTTTAACTGTAACTTCTCAGATAAATTATCTACGGAAGTACACACGCTTTTTAAGATTCATAAATAATTAAGATTGTTATTAACAATTTAAAGTCGATTTTTAGTTAAAAAATAAAAAAAAATGTTAAAACTGATGCCAATTTGCGAATTTTCCATAAAAATATATAATCGTGGGTACTTTCCTAGCAAAATTTATGTGGATTAACGAAAAATTTTGTTTTTTGCTCTTGGAGAATGTTATGTTGTACGCAGATTCGCTTTTTGAAAAAAACTTATTTTCTATATCTGATTAGTTAAGGCCTTATTTTGTATCAATAGTTTAATAATGTGTAAAATAAAGCTTCAAAAATTTATTTTGATTCATAGAATAGTTTCCAAGATAAAAATTCCCAAAAAATGTTCATTTTTCAGTGCGCCTGGGTAGTACAACCCCTAAACATCAGAACACAATATTAATGTAAATATAAAAAAATAGTTGGTTGATAAAACAAATGAATAGAAACGACGAATTTGAAATTCATACATACTCTTTGAAAATTTTAAAGCAAGAGAAGTTATTTTTATAGATTAAAAAAAATACTAAATATTTGTGAATGATTTTGGTCTAAAATTAAAGAGTACAATTTATAACTTAATGTTGTTAAACTGTCAAATTGCAAATGGAATTTTTTTCAATTGGTGTTCGCTTATACTCAAGATTTCGAAATCGCTATTCTCACAAAGAAATGTCTATCTTTAAAGAACTATATTTTTATATTTAGGTACATTATTAAATTGGTTATATCTTGGCCCATTTGACTCTAAATTTATTAGACTGCAAAATGATCTTAGTTTGATAGCTTTTACATTAATTTTTACAGAAATATTTGAATTTGAAGTGAAACGAGTTTTTTGAGCAATTCAACCCCTTAGAAAATAACAGGGGGTTGAAATGGGAAATCTCGGATTTTTGTTGTCTAATTTTTTATATGAAGAATCCAATAATTTTTGGTTTTTCAAAATCGTTTCAGCAAATTTCGTGAAAATTGTCTCTCCGTTTTCAAAAATGTGTTTTCGATAAAAACACGTTTAAAGTTTCGTACTGTAATGTGAGTTAAGATATAAAAATTGCTGTAATTTTTCTCTTTTGCTTATTTCTTTTAAAATTTCTTGGGATAGTAATTTTATGATACTATGTTTTACACCCTGTTAGATATTAATTTACTGTTAAACGTAACAATAACCACATTTTCATCACAAGAAAGCAGAAACAAATTTAGTAAAAAGTCGGAATTTCAACCCTTGCTGGACTCCCTGCATATTGTTTGCTCATTAGAAAATAATAACTTTGATTGTATAGAAAATCTCAAAAAAAAGTGTCATTTTTCCATGTAAAATGCATGGCCAATTTTAGAGCTCGGGCGGCTCCATTAAATATTAATTTGAAAATGAAAAAATAGAGTCCACTTTTTTTTCTATTTCCTACAGTTTTGGGGACAGCAGCATGGAAATTTTGTTTGGGCTACCCTTATATTTGTATTCAGTGGTTGTCCAGACAAATGCGAGACACTTGTAAACGCTAGAATAAGGCAATAAGACGAGTGTATAAATAAATATTTATATGAATAGTCATTATATAGTCATATTTTGATTACAGGACAAATAAGTATGTAACTGTTGCGAATTGGACCCTTCTTCGTCAACTTATCATTTTAATATTTGCTTGAATTATAAAGTATTTTACTTGAACCATGATAGCCATTGGATTTGAAGGTAGCGCTAATAAATTGGGAATAGGAATTATTCGCGATGATGAAATTCTTTCCAATGTAAGACATACTTATATCACACCGCCTGGTGAAGGTAAGTTTGTCTATTACTTATATTATATTTTTCGTATTTCGTGTATGTTAAGAAAATAAACGTACATGTAACTATTCTAGATAATTTTGGAATATAGAAAATTCCACCGATAAATTGAAAAGTCGTTTTTCTTTGTTCCCAAAATTAAGAAAGTGTAAACCTTTGTGGAAACTGAGTCGGATAGCACTGACGAAGTACCAAGTATAGCTTATTTTTGTTACCATTTGATATTTGAATTATTTTTGCTATATTTAAACTACTTTATTTATTCTCCTTTCAACTTAAAAAAATTAAATAAAATTTAAGTACAAAATATTTTTAAAAATACAAGAAAATGATAAATATTAGTTTGCTTAATAATTTTAATTCTGAATAACATTTATATATTATTTGAAACAAAAAGTATAAATATATAATTCAGACAATATGAACTACATTAATATTTATGATTTTTTGTATTTAAAAAAAAATTTGTACTTCAATTTCATAGAATTTCTTAAGTTAAGTAAAGAATAAACAAAGTATTTTAATTATAGAAAAAATAATTCAATTATCATATGGTAACATAAATAAGTGTAATGCTTGAAACGATTGAAAAAGATTTTATTATTTAAGCACTTTTATTTGTTTATAATACGCCTACAGAAATAGCAAATATATTTATTAACCTGAGCATTGAATTTGAATTCCAATTTATTGTAACATATTCCACATTTTTATAAACTGAATTTTTATGTTTTGCTTTTAACCCCTTGGCTGTCAACGTGATTTCCACTGTTTGGGCCAAAAGTGTGTTGAAAAAATTTTTAATGGATTTTTATGAAACTTGGTACCCTAAGGTTTCTGGGGTCGCTGATTACGAATCTGACATCAGTTTTTCGAAATTCAAAATGGCGGATCCAAGATGGCGGAATTTTTTCAAAATTCGTCGAATTTGCTTGAAACTTGTTACTCGGGGGTTTTAAGGGTCGCTGATTACGAATCTAACATTAGTTTTCCAAAATTCAAAATGGCGGATCCAATATGGCGGACAACGAAATAAAAAATTGATAAGATTGGCTTGAAACTGAATACTTGGTGATTTTGAGGGTCGCTGATTACGAATCTAAAATCAGTTTTTCAAAATTCAAAATATCTGGTTTAATATGGCGGAAAATTTTTTTAAATTTATTGAATTTGTTTGAAACTGATTAATCTGACATCAGTATGATAATTTTTGGTGAAATCAAATTTCGATAAATACCTTGAAAAAATAATTACAGATTCGTAAGCAGCGACCCTAAAAACCTACGAGTATTCAGTTTTAAGCCATTATAATTAATTTTTTATTTTGTCGTGCGCCATATTGGATTCGCCATTTTGAATTTTGGAAAACTAATGTTAGATTCGCAATCAGCGACCCTTAAAACCCCCGAGTAACAAGTTTCAAACAAATTCGACGAATTTTGAAAAATTTTCGCCATCTTGGATCCGCCATTTTGAATTTCGAAAAACTGATGTCAGATTCGTAATCAGCGACCCCGAAAATCCCCGAGTACTACGTTTCAAGTCAATCTGATCAATTTTTTATTTTGTTGTCCGCCATATTGGATCCGCCATTTTGAATTTTGGAAAACGAATGTCATATTCGTAATCAGCGACCTCGAAAACCCCCGAGTAACCGGTTTCAGGAACATTTAAGAAGTTTTTAATCACTTTTTTTAAGTTGCGCATATATGCGTCATGAACCACTTTTGGCCAGTTTAGTTTTGCGCATATATGCGTCAGCGACAGTCAACGGGTTAACAATGAATTGCAGCATGTATTTGTCAGTGGTATTGTCTACTTCTTGTACATTTACACTTACATTTAAATTTTTATTATACACAAAATACTTAAGAAACTGTTGCTTCAATAATAAACATACGCATTAAGAACTGTAGAAAGGTAGATCATGCATTTTGAGTCCCTCTAATTATGCGCTTAAATTGTGCACAATTATGCGGAATTATGCGCTTAAATTGTGTATAATTATGCGGAATCATGCGACTAAAAAGATGAATTCTGCGTTAAAATGAGCACGATTATGCAGAATTATGCAATTGAAAAGAATTCTGCTTCAATTATGCGCTAAAAATGTTCATTTTACAAAATTATGTTGCATTTAAAAAAAAATTTGATTTGAAACGGTTACTGGTTATTTTTTGAAACCAATTTCCCGAAACCGAATCAGGGACGTAACAAGGAACGAATAGGCCCCCCCCGCAACATTCCTCTTGAGGCCCTCTTAAGGCGACAAACATTTCAAATTTACAATTATTAATGAAAGAATGAAACGTAATTTTTGAAATATTTCTAATATTATTTAATTCAATGCACTAAAAATATAAAAGTAATTATATTTGAATATGCAAAAATTATTTTAACTTATGTAATTGAGAAAAGCATTCAAAAATTAAATATTTATACTCACATTTTTATGAAGAAATTTTCGTTGAATTGTTTCAACAATTTAAGAATTACATTTTAAAAATGAAGCTTAGACTTATTTATAATAAAATAAATAAAGCTATGTTTAATCAATAAAGTATTGAAAATATCAACCACTGTTGATTTTTCGTTGATTTCGTCATTTTTAAAAAATGCAATTGCATTAATGAGTTGAATTGGAAATTTTTTTGTTAAATCTGTAGAATATTGTGATTGTAATTTGTTTACCAAACTAAAGATTTGATCCTCGGTTAGTTTAAAAAAAATTTTTGGTTCGAGAATAGAAAATAGATTAGCAATTTCGTACATTCCTTTGAATCTGTTAATTAACTGTGCATTAATTATGTCTAAAATGCGATAAAACACGTTGATTTTAAAAGCTTCTTCACTGTCGTAAAGGCGGTGATCATCTGCTAATTCATCAAAAAATCTCTTGCGTTTAGGCCTTCTTTTTTCTTTGAAAATTGGTTCCATTCTCCATTTTTTAGAAATAAGCGTAGCTTCCTCTTTACATTGATTGTAGTCTTCTCTGTAAATTCAAAATTTTCCATATTTTTTTTAATTCTAGTAGCTTCTTGGCGTTCATCACTTTTGGAACCAGTTAACTGAATTTGTGTTAAAGCCTTTATTATATCCACGAATCTGAGTTTTACGGCCATTAAGGAAGATATTCTGCCAGACCATCTTGTAGGATTTAACTTTTTCAATGTAATCTATGATTCACCTGTGAATTGTGATAAAAGTTCCCACCTTTTTATACTAGCTCCAAAAAAGAGGTATATACTTTGTATAACCAAAAAAAAATTTTTAACTTCAACTCCATTGACAGCATAATTTATAATTAAATTGGTATTGTGACTGCAACAATGAACCAATGGAGCATTTGGTTCAATTGATTTTATTTTACTTTGAACTCTGTTGTAAACACTACTCATAACGCTTGCTCCATAATAACCTTGACCACGATATTTGTGTAGGTATATCAATCGAATTTTCCGAAAAAAGCTTTAGAACTTTATCAGTCATTCCTGTTGCAGTGTGATCTACTATCGCATAAAATCCAAGAAAAGTTTCCTTAATTTCGAAATTATTAGCTTCGCCGTTTTCATTTCGATCAATTTTAACATCTAAGTACTAAACTTAATTGATCTGTTTTAGTTATATCTTGAGTTGTGTCAAACATACATGAAAAAAATAAACTGTTTTTAATGTCAGAAATTAAGTTTTGGTGTAACTCTTGTCCTAAACATTCTATCATTTAATTTTGTATCAGTGGACTCAAGTATTTTGTTGAGCCTTTCGGCAAACTGACTACTTGTTTAAGTATATCATCATACTTAGCAAGAAAATGTACCATCATCAGGAAGTTTCCATTGAAATTGTCATTTAAATTCTCTTTGCCTCCACGAAAAGGTAAAGAATTAGTTGATAACGTCAAAGTTATATCAAACAAACGATTTAGCACCATTTTCCAAAAGTTTTCATCATGTTCAATTTGTTTCTCGCCTTCCTTATCAATAGTTTTTTTTGCTTCCATTGATTATATATGACACAAGCAGTAAAGTGCGCTTTACAAGTACTATGCTCTTTTATTTTCTTTAACAAGCCCTTCCAATTTCGAATTCCTGATCGCCACTTGTCTGATGATGTAGATAAAAGCCAACATGATTCGCAGTAGGTTGCATCTAGAATTGGCGAATAGCATAACCAAAATCTTTGAATTGTTTGGCCAGAATTGCTTGTAACTGCATAATACGTTTCAGAAAAATGTCTGTTTCCTTGAGTAGATCTTTCACAAATGGCCCTTGTGACCGACAAGGCCTATATGATAATATGAATTGTTTAACAGAATCTGTTAAATCCCTGTCTTTAAAATGACCTACGTCAGTTGGGAATTTTTTTTTAAACTTTCGAACATATATCAACAGTATTAAGTCATTCCGATCCTGATTTAATATTATTTAAATTGATTCCACTTTCTTCAGAAATTTTCGTCTCTTCTTCGAGAAATACAATTTCATCCTGCGTATTATATATAATAATTATAAATAATTTCAATTAGTAAAATCATTTCATTATTAGCTTCCAACGCTATTATTAACTTAAGTTATATTTACCTGGTACTCTAATATAATTCTTGAACAAGTAAAAAACTAAAATAAGAATTCTAAAATTTATGTAGATTTCTCATATTTTAGATTAAAATAGTTAATTAACTTAAACATTTTATGAAGTTTGCAATATATTTTTAAATTGAAAAAACAGATAAGCTTATAATACTAAACCTGTTTAACACTTTGTTTCTGATTATTACTAAATTTTAAGTGTTGTTTGGGAATTTGAATCTCAATTATATTTTTTCTACATTTTCACTAACATTTGAACTATTTTGGACTGGTGCCTCCGACGATTGAATTCTTATCGTAAAATTATCCAATTTTGGCAGTTTCTTTTTCTGGTCCTCTAATTCTCTGTTTTTTCGTTTGGCAGCTCCGCTTTCGAACCTTTTTTTTGGTTCAGACATCTTTAAA